ACATTCTCCCGTAGCTAGTTGCCGGTAGAATCAGCTTCCCGACTACCAGAGACGCATGGAAGTCGTTGTCCATTTGAACTTCCGTCCACATGTGATGTTGCAGGTTGTAAACGGCGCAGTCAACTAGACCCATGAACAGATATTGAGATGCATGGTTGCAGGGGACGCCGTGCTGCCACTGTGGTGAAGTGGAGTCTCGATGACCTGCGACCCCAATCGGCATTGCCAACAATAAGCAGAAGATCAATATACTTCAAGTTCAAACATAGCACGTACCGTAGAGGGCAAGGTGCGCGTTTTCAAGCGAAGCGTGTCTGTCAACATTCCAAAGATGGCGAGGGTGAGGGTTAAACCGACGGGGGATAAGATACTTTGAAAAGGCCAACTCGACTATTGGCTTTGTTATGTTGAATGGGAATAGCGGAGATTAACTGCAAGGGTGCAGGCTCTATAAATATATCTTCCCCCGCCAAATCCAAGGCACGCCGAGTTAGGGCGGTAAGCTGTTGTCCCACGGGCCACAACTGACCAAAAAAGCGATAAGAACGTACGGTAGCTACAACACTTTGCGTGTAATGAGATCAATCCCGTAACCCTGATGATGGACCACTTCTATATCAGTCCGAATATTATTGAAGACGCTTTGAAACTGATCGTGATCGGCGGCTCAAGGGAGTGTGTCTCGTAAGAGTATGTCTCTTTGATGTCTCTTAAGCTTTCTGCGGGTGCAAGTGATAGTCTCGCATTCGCATCAGCGACCTCCTTCAGAACGAGGAAGACGTTTCGATCGAGACGGCGCTGTGAACTATTAAGGGTAAAAACAAAAGTTTTCGAAAAAACCAACCTTGAACAATTGCATGATGAAACCATTGTTGGACACTGTGTTCTCGATAAATGCTTTCGCTTGGGCGACAAGTGCATCCTGAATATTGTGGCTTTGAAGTATGATGAGCTTCGCAACCTGCTCAATTGACGAGCTATCGGGTTCACCTCTCGGTAAGAGTCGTTTAACTTAGTAGTAAAAGGACGTACTAAATAGAGCCGGTATAAGCAGGCCATCGCTTTATAAACACCTGAGTCACGGAGAAAGCGAGCTGTCGAATTTCATAGCTGATTTTATCCAACATTACTCCAGCGCGCGAAGAACAGCACGTCGTAGTGTCGGTTGGAGATGCTTCATTTGTTTACTGTATTTTTTCATTCAGATCGACACGGGGTCTGACGCGTGACATACTCGGACCATTTCGACAATTCGATACCACCGAATTTTTTTGCGTGACCACTGGAAATTTTTCGAAAATTTCAACGCGAATATTCGTTTTTTGGTGTTTTTGGGAGATTTTGGCCTGCGTGACCCGAATTTTCGGTTCGATAAAGGCCTGAGTGACGCGTGACATCGACCAAAATTCGATATCGATATGCTGGTGCGTGACGCGTGACTATCGACCTGAATGAAAAAATACAGTATGTTCAAAATTATGCTTGTAGATGATCACTCCCAATGACTCTACCATGCTCCGCAAAGTCAAAATTGGGAGCGATAGTAAATATCCGGTGCAAAAAAAGTTGAGAGAAACGTCGACGAGTGTAGAGCCCATGAGATAAGTTGACGCAGCGGGATCGATCGACACCCGGCGGTTCTAGACTCATGACATGAGGCGCATCCAGAACAGCCAGAAGTTCGTTGACGCAAGGCAAAGAAGCGTCCGGGATATTTTGGGCATCCTGGAACTGGACGTTGAAATTTTGGCCGTGGGCCGAAGGTATTACAGTTACATCCGCAAAACCGAGTGTTTTGGCAAGAGATGCTCTTTTGAAGATCGAAAGGATTGATCGGGATGCCATCGGCTATCATGTAAAGACTAGTAAAGCGAGAAAATATCAATTATATCGGTGCGGTCCTGGAACAGCCAATTTACCTGAGCAGGATGATGGAGCCTCGGAAGATGGCCATATATTAGATGACTGTACGCCGACCTCGTCCTTCGATGAAGATAGCCCACACAAAGACTGTGATTCCTTCAGTAGGGAACATCATCTGGAAATTGTTAGACCTACGAGATGAGCAGGTGGGGCCGACGTCGTTGTTCTTTTGGTCAGATTCATCCTCTGGGAGGGTGTCGATGATCGCATCCTACGCCAACACCGGAAATAGTTCATTGGAAAGACAGAGATACATAAGAGTTGACTCGTACCTTGCCATGCCGGAAAGTATCTGTATGGACGTAGTTGTATCAAAAATGATTCAAGTTTAACGCGTTCTATAGGGCACCAGAGTTGAGCTCCGGTTGGAGACTGAAGTACAGAGTTCGACTTGAGGGATATCTAGTTGTTGGGAATAATAATCATACCTTTTCGTCGGCCCACAAGGCAAAAAAGTAACGATAAAAGACTTCGATGATACTCGACCTCCATTGCCGACCTTTGATATTGAAAGCGGGGCTGGTGAGATCCGAAATGATGCGGAACAGCCGACTAACAGCTAGTAACCTATGTCACAAGTGAGTGAATATCAGGAGGGAAATGAGACATCCAACCGGAATTCCCAGTGTCCAGAAGAAAGAAGCCGGTCATGTAAGAGTTCTTGTAAAGGTTGCGAGTCAACGACTACAATACGCAGGAGGAATGTAGTTCTTATAGCAGATATTTCGTGCCGCTGATCATTAATATCATAAAATTGCTATGCGCTGTAACACTTGAGGCCTTGAGGGGCTGGACGGCATAGTGCAAAAATTATGGGAACTCACCATTGTGCAAGCATTCGCCCATTCCGTAAAATGAAGTTGTCGACTTCACATGACTCGAGAAACGGCGAGTCGTTGAGGAATGTGTTCAAAAAATTGGTCGTAATACATGAAACATCGTCCACTCGCGCCGTAAGGTATGAATCCAGAACATTTATGAGATCGGGGTCGATGAATATGGGATCTGTCACGGTAGCACCTGGAACATTGAGGTTTCTCCTGCATATATTTTCTGTGAGAGGGGCTGGACTGCGGATGCAATAACAAACCTGGATGGAAAGGCATCAGTCTCTTCTGCCGTTATAAGATCTAATTCCACGATTTTGTTTCTATCCGAACCATATAGTAGGAGACAGGTTCCCAGCGACTTTCGGATGAAACTCGCTCCAGACAGTGGCCAGTGCGCTCCGATGAAAAAAATAATAATCTGAATACAATCAGTAAAGGCAATTGTACGCCGGCGGAGAGAGATTCAGGAATATGAGGAAGAGGCCGCAAGTGCAGGGAGACAAATCTGCGTTAACGTTGTAATTGATCACGACCCGTCAGTTTCAGCCAGGTCGAAGCCAAGATAGCGTCGATTAATAACGTCGAGGTCTGTTCTTCCGGTGACTGGATCCCAGTTAGGATATCGACGTCTACGCTAGCCTCCTGAGAAGCTCCGGTCAGATTTCGTATATGAGTGCCCCATACATTGTAGGATCTTGCTCATGCATCTCGAAAAGCCACTTTACAGTGTATCGGTTCAACATTGTCAGAATCAACAGGGCCCGTCTTCAAGTTGACGCAATATAATCTCCGCCGTTGTTCACAGACCCTGCCAGCGCTAGCCGTGACGATGGCCAGGTGATGGCCAGGTAAGGGGATTTGAAGCGGTGCGAATGCCGGGAAGCGCCCGTTGCTTAGCCAAGTAATCGCGGAGGATGATTGCAAGATTATCATCCTCCAGCCAGGTTAGACAGATAGGACCAAAAATGGAGGATAGTTAGTTACCTCCGCAAGGATGCATGCAACAATTATCCGCTAAGGCGCATCAAACTATACTCCGCAGCCATACCACTCGGCCAGAGTTTCCGTATGAAAAGTAGGAAACCAGCCTCATTGCCAGATAAATCGCCGCAAGGCACGCCTCTTCTGCAGAAGCCAGGATTTCAACATTTGCCGATCGCGACAAGCCTAGCCCCAGTGGAATGAAAAATACGCAGAATGTATCCTTATTGAACGTCTTTTCATCGAATAAATTCGGTACAAGATCAAAGCCGGTTGAAAAAGCCAAGGTGATGCAGGTGAGTTAAACTTGGTCGGGCGGCGGCATCGGAATGAATGAGAAACTCATATCCGAGTATATCTCGCAGGTGCACTATCGGAACTACTTCGAATGGATGAGAAACGGAGGAATATGTTTCGTCAACCAGAGAATCAGGTTGAGGCAACACTCAAGAGCTCAGATGATGCCATTGGGATCGGGTAAGGCGATTTGATGGTACTGGACCAGATTCAACCAGTTGTACATGATCCGATGCATCGGACGACCTTGTTTAGTGTGGTCGACGTAATCGCCTATAGCAATTGAGGACGAAAATTGTCCGACAACAGGAGAGTCTCGCACCATGCGGCGACCCGGTTAAGCTCGAAATCGTCCACCCGGTTGTCTTTGGCATGAGCTGCGCTTTGGCCCTTCTGAATTATGTCTATGGACCCGCCCAGGGAGACACCGTTATCTGTATCTGTGTGGTCGTCACAGAGAAAATAACCAAAATTTCTTCGTGGCTCCGCATACCAAGCTGTTCCCTTGTCAGGTGAAGGATATCACTGTAATAAGCTTTGCAGGATAGTCGTAGAACAGACCAATCGATCGTCATCGATCTGCAGTCAGGTCACGTCGCCGTTGCATCGGGATGGTCCTTCTCGGGAGGACATAGAGGCGGAATATATAAACTGTGTGCATGACGTACAACGTAGACCTTGCATGGTACAGCCCCATAAAGGGGTGCGACACACAAAACAGAGGCACACTAGGTGAAAACATTGACAGGTTGGAAAGCGTGGTTGAATGTGGGAGCTTTTTTTTCGTCGCCACTTCATCATTTGTCGCATAACACAATCGAGAAACGAAAAGATGCAACACGTTGGACATTCTTGTCCGATGAGTACGGCACTACCTGCTGTTGCCTTCCGGATAGTCGTAGCAGCTTCCTTAGACGCCTTACATCTTTTACTGGTCTTATAGGGAGCCGTTGAGCAGTGATAGCAACAGCCCTGGTTGTGTAATGGTTTAACACACCCCAGTTACATTCTGAAGCTTCCGTGAACCATTCTAGGGGAACTCCTGGTTCGACTCCAGGCCGGGGCGTGGATTTTAACATCCATGGTTTTTCCCTTTTTGCCCGCATTTGAACCGTGAGAGTGTCCTTCGAATGAACAGGGCACATGCAAAAGGGCACATAAGTCCAAATCCAGTGATGGATGCGCTCGCGCACAGCTAAATATCGAGTGTGCCCGTCCCGGAGGGGCCGGGACAGTTTCGATTGGACGTTGCGGAATAAGATCCCTCAGACGAGTGAGGATGATTCATCGATTTTGTGAACGCGGCAGCTTTTGCACGGGAGGACAACAACTCTCGCATCCCTGATGAAAGACGATCAGAGGCCTAATATTTTCAAGAAAACTGACCGCCGTAACAACCTACCAGGGTTATTTCTGACTTACCGCGAACCTCCCCATCGAGTAGCAGGCCTTGCTTGCTCGTGTGACGAGAAAAGAGGGTGGTGAATACTTGTCTCCACCGCTTGTGGGTCGCTCCTAATAGAGGAAGTTGCACGTGTCTTCCGAATTCTTCTCCTCGTCGCCGATGCTACTGCTTGTGCTATGGGGTCCTTCATGAACCTCTGGTACGTGTCGTGATATAAGTAGCTCCGTCCGCAGGGAATTGAAGGAGTGAAAAGGGATTCGCTTGTCAAGGTAATGTGTCTCTATAACGGTTCACGCGTCATCGACCGCAACAGAGCCTGAGCAAAATCGATGGACACACCTTAGTCACCAGCACACAAAAAACAAAGACGATCTCCTAAAGCATTCGCCGGGACAGTATCCTTGAATTTCGCAAAATTTCGCCTTCGCAACCGGAAAAAAAAAAATCGAAATTTTGCGATCCCGTGTTCGAAAATTGCCGATCGGTCACGCAAAATTTGGTCCGTGGTCGGATAGTCGAACTCCAAAGCCCGTCGAGCTTTCGCCAATACATGCACAAGGTTTATGATCCCGAAATTGCCCCATTGGCAGCTGTGGCGGCACGCTGGAAACGGCGCGCAAGCTCTTTGCGGAGTTGTCGAGTGAGGAGCAAGAGGCTCTACAGAACCGGGGCAATCGATCCAATTCTGCTATAACCAACCTAGGCAAGTTTTGAGGTAGACGCTCAAAAACAGTGGGAACTTGGATTGAGCACAGTTGATCGACCGTGTATAGCCGTGTATGCACGCCCGCCATAGTCGGCAAAGCAACATACGTGGCCGCTACTATCATCCGTTTTTGCTGTCTATTCGCGCCCAAATAATGGGTATACCAATCTTCGTTTCCAAATGCTCGAGGAAAAGCCTAATATCAGACCCGACAAGGGTGTTCGCTTTCTTGTACCGGGCGGGTGCTGGCGCTCCAGGGTCATGATCAGCAGGAAAGCCGATAAGGATGACGAGCCATTTAGGCCGTTTATGAACCTTATGAAGGACACCATTATCACGTGCAGCTATGGCCAGCATGTACACAAGGTTGGATATGCGCACTGTCGCCAGTTGCGATCAAGCCCCGCTGGATGCTTAGGGAGTAAATGGAAACACTGTCGCAGAGCGCGATCAAGTACCGTGCAGAGGCCCGCTGCAAGTTAACATGCGATGTTAGCAGATCCTCTCGGCGAGAGGAGCTGCCCAAATAATCATGTGTGGAAGCGGGCGTGCACGACACATACAAGATCTGGATGTGCGCAGTTAATGGCCAACCGCGATCAAGCACCGTGCATAGGCCCGCCGCAAGTTAACATGCGATGTTAGCAGGTCCCCTTGGCGAGAGGAGCTGCCCAAATAATCTGTGTGGAAGCGGGCGTGCATGACACAAGATCTGGATATGCGTAGTTAATGGAAAGCCTTGCGGTCCTGGATTTGGCCGGGGCGGAGATTTCTGGATCCTGAGCGAGGAAGCAGATGCACTCGGCAAGCCAATGGATATCGTCCCGCTGAAAGACAAATGGCGGCTGAGACTGTAGGAAACGAGCTTCAGGACAAACAGAAAAGAGATTGTTGCACACAACCCACCAAATATCCAATCAAGAGACTCTATCGTTCGTAGGGAGGAGCGTCGCCTCCCACGATCTATTGAAGCAAGCGAACGTAAGTAGAGTCGACGAAGATAAAATTCACCGATACTGTGTTTGGAGCCTTCTAGTACACAGTCAAGTCAGATATCGATCCAACTAAGAGGCCAGTTTAAATAAAGGACGTACGTCTTCGCAGAATAGATGGTTGAGCCTCGCATCGGCGCCCGTCCTCCATAGATCGTCACCTTCTCTGCGCCTCACATTGCCAACTCGACGCCCTCACCCATCCACCCTTGTGTCTCCTCCGTGCATGCCTACATCACCAGCTCGGCGCCCGTCCTCTTATCCTGCCGTACCTCCACCTGCACCTCACATCGCAAACTCGGCCCCTTTATCCTTCTGCCCATGCCTCGCATCGCCGGCTCAGGCGGTCCTGGTTCCATCCCTGCGTCGCTCGTCGCCAAATCGGTCTGCTTGGATCGTTTAGGAGTAGATTACCCTCCATGTCCATATTGGAGAAGGGCGGCTTTGGCACTGGTGCTGAGGTGGGAACATATCGTTCCTCAGTTCGAGGAGCACTGGCCGCTGTGAGTGGGTAAGTTAATGGGGACTACCATAGGGACAAGCCGCACCTGCGTGTGAGGTAACTGTACAGTGAAGGTTGGTACGTTGGTGGCAAGGCGCGCGGAGGACCCTTCCCTCTGAGTTTTGTTCAGGGCCCTACGCCCTCCTAAACATGCGGGCAATAGAAGATATATACGCGGTCGCGGGGGCGGGAGGCTGCAAGGCAGCGGGTGGATTAAAGTAAGCAAGGAGATAGAGAAAAGATAGAAAAAAAAAAGACGCACTTATTGTGATGTAGCCACCCCGGGCCACACTAAGGACCGCGACAAAGCGCGCCCAATCTGAGCATTTTGGGCACTCACATCTTTTTCAGCGTTTGAAGTGCTCACATCCGCGTCTTGAAGTCTACAAAAAAAGATTAATTTGCAAAAGAATACAAATCGATGTGCAGGTGTAAGTATGCGCGCCCGAGTACGAAAAAAGGCCATATGTATGACTATGAAATAAAGTCCGTTTTTATGGGTGAGGAAGGTACCAGCAAAGCGCGCCGAAGACAAAAAAAAAACCGCCGAGGCGGGTGCCGACAAAACTAGTCTGGCGGGCCGACATGAAGTCGAGCCCAAAAGGGTGCAGGCCGACATAAAGTCGGGCCTGCACCGTCCACTGGTGCGGTCACGTCGTTCGAGGTCGCTGTCTTGAGCTGTGCCGTCGGGTGGGTTGAGGAAGGAGGGGAGGGAGGCGGGGAGGTGGTGATCATATGCATGCGATGGTGAAATTTAAAGCGGAGAGCGGGATGAGGCTGTGCTCACTTACATAATCCAAATCTCTCTTTTCTGCGCATGCGCGTCATCATGTGAACGCGTACGTTTCGTCAACGATCCGGATCCGGGGAAGTCAGTAGGTATTGACTAGCAAAGTAGGTAGATTTTGTGCCTCATAGCCATCAGGCTGACCGGTCGAAATTTGCATCTCATAGCCAATTGTCGGTCTACCTCTTCACTTCCTTTTTTTGCTCTCACTACGCACTATTCCATTGCCAGCCAAATCGAACCAGAAGAACTCGGTGATGCTGCTGGGGCGCTCGGAGTACTACGCCATACAGCTACATCGGACGACTTGAATATCTGCACGGAGACTTATCATCGACTTCCCCCAGTACTGTGCCAAGAGAGTGGACCGTACATGACACGAACACCGGTACCGGAAGTCCCGCACGAAGTTAAAGCTGAACACGACGCCGGGACCGTCACCGTCGAGAAAGGCCTCGGTCACGGCAAAGAGACACAGAACACGTACGACCAATCCATCAGCAGAAATTCGGAGTTGACAAATTTATAATATCAAGTAGATGTGGTGAAACGACGCAGACTTTCTCCCGAATACGCTACCTGCACACACGTCATTACTCGCAACAGAGACGAATAATTAAAACTAGGCTCTCCGAAGAACCCCGCATGCCGCGAGAAGATCAAATTATCCCATTTTTTGAATCCACCACACGAAAGAGCATGCCTCGGCACAAACAACCTTTCCAGTTTGCATGGTACGACCACAAGCGATAAGTCCAGCACTCGGTGGAAATCTTCTGGTATCAAGATTGAATTTAGGTCGTCGGATTGCCGGTTAATCGCCAGAAGGCCATGGCTCAGTACACCGTTTCATCTCTCTTCGCGGCAAACGCAAGATGGGCTGCTGATTACGCCTTGCGGAGTCAGGACATAATGCAGCGGAATGCATATATGCCTGGCGTACTGCCTCCTGATCGTTCGGATCCTGCCGTTGTTCTTGGTCGACGTCTTTTTACGCACCAAGGATTAGCGTACCTTTGAAGTTTGCGTTCCCGTGAGCTTTAACTTTTTGTTATTTTAGTTTCTAATTCATTTGTTTTTGTTTTTGCAGGTATGAGACTCCCTCATGGTCAAGTGGGCAAGTTTGATGCTAGAAGTGGGGGCGAGTTTCAATGACTGTACATTGAGATGGACGTGAATTATGTAGAATATATGTCTTGCATCTGTACTTATTGCAAATCTAAATGTTCGTGAGGTGTTTGATGTTGGCGCCAGACCTTAAGTTGGGTGGAATGTTCAAGCAATTCCTGGTCTTAGGTTGCAGAAGTGAAAGTTCAAGTTCGTCACAGACGCTTAGTGATCTCGCACTTACTTGTAGCAGCGGCGTACGCGTTTTGTATTCAGCAGCTCCACAAATATACACAAAGTAGATGATCCCTTCGAATTCTTTCTCTTTCGGACTTTCCCTTCTTCATCCTTGGGAATTAATATTCAAGGTGGTGAGTGCAAGGATGGGTGTGTTTTTGCGCCTTCCAAACGCCCCCTCGACGCTTCCATGCCTGTTGTTTCTCCCCAGCGACTATGTGGGACAGCCTCATATAACGAGCGCTCAGTTTTTCGACCACAGTAACAATGTCAGCGTCCGACATGTGATCTTTGGTATGGTTTCCCGGGGCTTGCCGGATGGCAAGAAAT